CCGTTCTTCTTAGGGCACATGGGGACAGCAGTGCTGTAGCTTTCTTTAAAGGTATGTCAGAAGTCCGTGAACTTTTTGTTACTGGAATCCATTTTTAGACATGCATTTCATGAGCTTACCAAATCTACCAAATTACCTGTTTTTAAAGGCATATAATAATCATTATGGGAGAAGTACTCCATGGCTTTTCTCTTGTTATTTGGTTTTAATCAACATGGTCTGGCTAGTGGATCACTTCTGCCATTTTCAGTTGTCCTGAGGAGGTTTGAAATAGCAATCCAAGCAGCTGAGCTGCTGGCTTGCTTACGGATTTGATACATCAACCGATTCTGGCTGCTGAAACTTTTGTAGAAGCACAGAATAACTGTGGATAAGTGGTAGAAAGAGAAGCAAAGGGTGACTCCTTGTATGAAAGGATAGATGTGCGGCCTACACATTTCATTTCTGGGTCTGCTGAGACTGGATCACTGTGCAGGTAATACTACTTGAGGACTGATTTTTTTAAAAATTTGTTTATTTCAGGCGAGAATCTCTATTCATCCTAAAGCTCTTTTACCTGAGGGCTGTTGCAGTAGTTGTATGTTTTCTTTTATGTAGAGAGATTTCTTCATTCTCATCATACTCTGTGGCAGTGGGGCTTTTTCTCCTGGAATACTTATTTCTTTGCAGATATCTGTGCATGGAAATGGTAGGCAAAATATATTAAAGTTGGGACTACTGGAAATAATAATCTAAAATACTAAGTAGTAAGAACTTTACTATTTTTATATTGCTGGGATAGGAACATTTAGTATTTTTGATTGAAAATATTTTTTTTCCCCCTCTTCTTTCTAGAAATAAGATTGAGGTACAGCCAGGTCAAAATGTACTGAAACTCATACAGGATTGTTTCGAAAGTAAGCTTTTATTTGGTGTTTTTGCTTAATTTGCTGATTAAAGAAAAAAATTAATTTCTTCCTTGTATTATATTTAGTGGTAAATAAATGAAAAATAGAGATAAAATGGATAAAAATAGTCTTTCTCACAGTCCTTAAAAGCACCCCCTTCCCAGCCGCTTAAAACTGTGTCTTACCTGTCTTACCTGTCTTATAAAGGTAATCTTTTCCTGAGTAGCTGGTTTCTTGTTTGGATTTACATGACCTTAACGAGCCTTAGCAACTTGTTAAAATAAATGAAACCTGGACAACTCCAAGAATCCCTTATTTATAGTTTTTCCTTTATAGGTTGTGGCAGTGATCTTACAATAAGATCTCCAAGTGCAACCCATTGCTCAACTCCTATTGTCAGAAATGAGAAGAGGACTTCAATACAGAGCCAACGGGTAAGTTAGTTATGGCAGAGTCACAATGTAGCATTGGGTACAGCTTCACTTGGGTACAAGTTTAGTTCTGTAGGATTTAGTTCTGTATGAGCGTTGAATGAGTAAGCTCCATATGTCACTTGTATTAGTATATAGGCTATAATTTAACCTTCTGCAATAGTTGTTGGTAATGTTTTTTTCTTAATTTGTTGTGCTCTAATAGTAAATAAAAAAGTACAGTATATATTTAAATCTATCTATATATCTCTAAAATAACTAGATTTATTTAATAGCTATTTTCTTGGGTTTTTGCTAATGAAAGCTTTTTCAGCTTTTTGTCCAGAATAGTTAAATTTCTCGTGGTCTCAGGTTGAAGCACGCTGCCTTTTAACTGGTGGTGGGTATGAGTCTTGGGCTCCATTGGGGTTGGTTTCAGTCACTTTGCCAGATATATGGACACAGTTCTTAGCTATCTCATGGACAGTAAAATTGAAAGATGATTCTTGTATAAAAGCAGCTTGTCAACTCCTGATAAACAGTTATCCATACAATAATTTTGTATATCTGTAACTTTGTTGAAGAGTGGAAACAAGTTGAAGGACTTGGTAGTGTGCTGTCTGAGAGAATGATGCCAGTAATCTAGTTTGTATGTTTAGTTTTAATATTTTGATTCCAGTAGGTTTTTGTAAAAATAGGATATTCTATTAATGGCAGTGTTGAGAACAGGCATCTTTTATAATGGTGTTTGTTTACTTTAGTCTGATGTTAGAGTACCATATAATCTCCAAGTAATTCTTGCAAAACCTCAGCCTGACTTAATACAGGTGAATTAAATTGTTTATATTAATTCATTCTAATGAAAAGAGTAAATAGCTTGCCTGTGGACTGGGATGTCTGTTCAAAGCTGCAAATTGATTTTTACTGTACACACTGTTTTACCTGTTGTTAGAAATTTACAGTTAGTTTTAGAAAGTCTTAAGTGATAGAAAATTGAAGTGTTTAGTTAAAATAGAACTGTGCTTCAAGTGAGTAAGAATTAAGGGAAGGAAGTTATATTGTGTTCTGTAGAAATTTATATTCCTGTCAATATACTGTTGCTTTATCAAATATTTTACTTTGTCTCATTATTCGTTACTGATTATGACAGCCAAAGGCGGGGTTAACTAACTCTGTGAAAAGAGCCTGTAATTCTGCAGGATCCTTACTTGCATCACCGCTAAAACCAGTCAGCTGCAGAGGTTGGTAGCACCATTATTGAATTGAGGTTTTCTGGGTAACTGTTTCTTGGGATTTTGTAAGGTTTTGAGTAGAACAATTAAACCTATTCTATATATATGGCAGGATGGTCACATGAATCACCCCTGAAGCCTGCAATAAATGATTATGTAGCTGATTCTAAAAAAACAGCGTCTCCTGTGTCTAAAAGAGAAACAAATAATATATTAAAAGATGTTGACGCACTATGCAAAAGTCCTGTCATGTCTTCAGACCCTGAGGATGATCATGGGTCTGTTGGATCACCTCTTCTTGTGGAGGAAGCAAAAAGTTTTCCTGTACATAAGTAAGTAGAGCTGAATGTGGTGGTGGTGTCATGTCCGTGTGTCGTCCCTTCCCTTTCCCCCCGGCCATGCCCACCCTGGGTAAATTAACATGGTGGCTTCAATTATTTATGAGTTTGGATTGTGAACTCATAAAAAATAATTCTAGGCTTTTTAGAAAATCTCCATATCTGGGTTTAGAAAGGGCAGAATTGTTTTTTATTAAATATTCTGGTGATAAGGGTTAATTCCCTAAAGTGCAGTACCCAAGTGCAGGAAGCCTGTCAGAATGGATTTGAACTCCTTTTTCACAGGAAAGTGCCCCAAATTACCAGCTTCTCAGACAGTCTAGACTTTTTCAGTGAATCCTATTGACAGTGTTGACTTAAAAGTTAACAAAAAATTTATTAAAGCAGAGGTGAGCAGTCATTGTTCCTCTCACTCTGAATATACAAATGTTTTATTCAAAGTAGAACAACTTCAGTTGTGATCATTATCTTCTCTTTGGAAAATTTGAAGCCCAGCTGCATTAGCGGCCAGTGGTCCCTGCCACAGTTCTGCTTTCCTGGAGGACTGAATCTCCAGGGTAGATGATAGAGAGGGACTGACACTGATTCCATTGACTCCCATTGATGGAGTGAGATTGGGAAGAGAGTGCACCTAGGGTCTAGAAAACCTGACAATTTCTGAAGCACATTCTCCTGCAATTAGGAATTTGTCTTGCTGAGCTGCCCTCACTTTGATCTAGAGTCACAAACTGACCTCCTGTTGCCTCGTTGATTTGGACACTTGCTACTATGCTGGGAAGTAGTACTGCTAACCTGTGTTCCAGCAAATTACCAAACGGAAGCTCATTCCTAAGAAGTGAGACACTGTCAGCAGGAGAAAATGAGAGCATCTGTCCATCCACACTATACTTTAATGTGCACTCAGGATTTATAGCATCATATTTGAATGCTGTTTCTCATACATAGATTACATTTTGATGACCAAAATACTCCTGCTGCAGTGAAGAGCCATGTGGAAGTTGAAAATTTGGAAGGACCTCAGACTGGGAGAGCTGAGCAGATTGTTCTCGTGCGAGGAACAGAACATATTGCTACGTCTTCTGTACAGAAAGAGAAGCCTTTCTCTTCGGTTGTCTTAGCAGCTGTAGCAACAGGAACGCTTGGAAAAAGGTTTATTTTGAGCCTTAATATGGAACATAATTTGCTAGTAAGATAACCCAGTCCTGAGTACTGGAGCAACATCCTTTTATCTGTAAACGTGGTCTGGGAGAATGTATTGGGATAGTCCAATATTGCTGAAAAATGCCACTTGAGAAAGGGTTTGAATAGGTGTTTCAAAGTTTTGTGTTGTTAATATTTAACAGTGCTGTTGCTTTTGTCTGCCAGTAAAATAGTATGTAGCTGTTGAGTGGTGTTTCAGATTGAGCCTGAGATGTTTTGATAGCTGGGTTGGAGGATTCAGGAAAACCTTATTCTGAAGTTATCAGTGATCAAGCAGTCTTTTTCAGAGCTAATATGGATCTGACCAGTTAGATAGAAGTTGACTCGCCAGCATCTGAGAAATAATGAGGTCTGAATATGAGGCCAAAGCAAGGAGAAGCAGGCCTTGTGCTCTTTCTGGAAGCTAAAGGGCAATGAATGATGAACTTTGTAATAATTCTTCCGAGGAATGTCCTGTAGCGTGTTTAGGTGTTCTAGAGTCACCACTAGATTTGCAAGATTGAAAGTAAATTTTTTTCCCCCCAAATGATGTGAATACTTTGTCCCTCCTTTCTTTAGGTATTCAGCCTCAATATCACCGCCATCACCTCCTCCTGTGAAAGATCAAGATTTGGAAATAGAAAATGAATGTGAATTTTTGATTGATGAATCAGATGGTGTATCTTTTAATTCTTGGTTTTCAATACCCCATAAGAACAAAAAATCAAAAAAAGATGGCTCTGCAACTCCTGTTTCTAAATCTCAGCCCTCTGAAAAGGAGAAATCAGAGAGTAAGAAAGGCAAGAACAGAAAAGTACAAGTTGAAGCACTTACTAAACAGAAAATGGATGATTTGGATGTCAGAATACATGACTTCAAAGGAACATCAGAATCAGATCCAGTCTCTAAGAGTGAAGGAAATGTCCTTAAATCTCAAAGGCAAAACAGTACTCATATGGGTAAGTTATTTAACAGGTCTTCAGACTTCTCCTTCCAGGTCGGTACTGGATTTTTTGGGGGTGGTTTATTGGGCAATAAGGATTAAGTAGATGAGAGACATTAATGGATTCCTAATTATTGATGTTTCAATGTTTCAGTTGCACAGTTAGGTTTGGGTGTATATAAGGCAGTGAGACAGAGTGTCTTCGTTTTTTCCTCCCTCTCCCCCCATCCCCCCAAATTAAGTTAGCAGTGTTGCTTTTTCTTATGAGCAGACAAGAAGGTAGGTACCCACAAGCTTTTGCTCCTCTCACCGTAGAAAGGAGGTTAAGATATGTGCTTTGAACTGGAGGGGATCAGTTTTGTAGCAGGAAGCACTGAAAACTAGAAAGCAGATTGAATGTAACATTTCTGCCCTTTTTTTCTGCTAGGAAATACTGGAAGTACACCAAAAATTCTGTTTTGAATTTTTCATGTGCTATAGTTCAGAGAAAGCCTTCTTTTAACCATCAGGGAAAAATCTGGTTTTGTAATACTTATTTTTTTTGATTTTTTGGTTTATTTTTATGCATTCAGATGTCAACATATATCTTCAGGTTTAATGGGAAAAGATATTAATGTCCAAGTGTTTTGTGTATTGATAGGAAAGACTAAAAAGTGTGCACTTAGGCAAGGCTCTCCAAACCAGAAAAAGGACACGTCCTGGAAACCAGAAGCTGAAGAACTGATGATGTCACGGTCTGGATTGGAAACAAAAGCATCTGATGCAGAACAATGTAAAACAAGGGTGATGCCAAGTGAGGAGTCACCTATGCCCTCAGCTGGGCACCAGCAAGAGAGGACCGTGTCTCCAAAAAAGAATCTCAAGTCTTCCAAGTATCCGCAGTTGGCTTCAAAAGCTTCTCAGCATTTAGTTAGCAAGAAACAAACTGCTAAGCAGAAACTTCCAAAAGTTACAGTAGCTAAGAGACAGGCAGAAAGTCCAAGGAAGAAGCTTAAAAAATCTGGCAAGAAAAGTAGTAATAAAAAGCCTCAGTTACAAAGAGAGGAGAGTTCTGACAGTGAACCTGGTGAAGAAGAGCTTGAAAAAGAGCTTGTAAAATTGAATGAAGTGTTTACCTCACCCCTGCAGAAATTACAGACTTCCGTGATTCAGAAGTTGGCTAAGTCTGAAAAGCCTAAAAATGTACTGCACACATTGGAGTCACGTGGTGGTGCAAATAACAAAACTCCTGTAAAAGCACTACAGCATCTCATAGACAGTGTGAAGAATTCTGAAAAGAAACGATTGTCAGCTAAGTCTTCAGGGAAGATACCCAAAAAGATTCATCACAGAACCAGTAAAGGTGTTTGCTCAGACCCTGAGGACACTGAGTCTCAAACGGATTCTGACAGCTTTTCTGTACAGGACGTGGCAAGAAAAAAACAGAAGTTATCAGATGTGAAAATAAAAAGTAACAAAAGAAAACATAACATGCAACGTGGTCTACAGTAAGCTTTTTATGTAATTCCTTACAAGTGTGGTGTAACTTGGTAGATAATTAAACACATCTTGTTAACTTTTAAGCAGTAATGGCCCAATTGAACTATGTGACAGTTTCAGACTGGTTGAATAGCTAATAGAGAAACCAAGTGGTGTAATCAGTGTCCTATTCTCATAGGTGGGTGCCAAATCTAGTGTCTGCTTCTACATAAGGAAACTTACGCTGGAATTTTTAAAGTGTTCTTTTGAGACTTGAGTAGCAGATCCAGTTTATAAACAAAAAAAAGAGACAAAAAAAGACACACATGCACACCCCCCCCCCCCCCACCCCCCCCCGTAGAATAACTTCACTGTCAGGTTTGTTACTTTGTTTATAAATTGAGAAAATACAGTGTTTAATTCTTCAGCTATATTTATTTTTGTGGAGGTGACTTTACTAATGATTTGTACTCAAAAGAGAACATTTCTTTAACCAGTTTGAGTTTTTAATCACTGTTCTTTGCATTGCTTTTTAAGTTTTTTTTAAAAATGTCTTTTTTATGGTTCTGTTCAGTATGTAAAATTATTGACCTACAGGTTCCTTTCAGTAAGTAAAATTGACTTAACAGTAAATATAA